TAACTTCATCACATGTTACTTTGAGAAGATCCCTGTATAAATATTTTGGCTCATTTAATATGCCTTCTGGTATTTTAACACCAGGTCTCTTTTTCTTCACCATTTGGGGAACTTATTTTTATTTTCAAACAAATTTGATGCTCTTACAGAAGTTCACTTCCAGAACCAAGTGTTTTAGGGAAGATTGCAGGAGTGCTGATGAAATGACAGTGTGCTGGGGGACTCCTGATGGCAGTGTGTGTGCTGCTGGGCACTGGCTGAAAATCACTGTGCATGAGCAAGACAGACCAGGGAACAATTCTGGGGTTTATATTGGGTTGGCAAGTTCCGAATATTTAAATGGGAAACACTTTGAACTAGAAATTTTAAATTTTAATTTAAATTTCAATTGAATTCAAATCAGATGGCAGCATCCATGTGTCCCCAGCTGCCCCCAGAAGGGTAAGAAATTGTGTGAGCTTCCTAAGGGGGCTGGAACAGCCACAGGCTCTGCCTGTTCCCTTCCTTCCTTGGTTCCCTTTCTCCCCAGCTCCCTGCTCTCCCCTGGTCCCTCTCCCCCACTCTCTGCTGCCTTTGAACATCTGGGAAGGCTCAAACCAATAGTGTTACTGCCAAGTCCTTCCCGGGACTGTCTCACTGAAATTTTACTGCAGATGCTTGATCCTAAAAGCAAATAAAAGCAAATAAATCCCAGGACAGACCCTGCAGCCGTCAGTGCCTGGAGTTTGTCATCATTGCTCAGCTCTGGGTCATTTTATTTAGACTGGGGCATTTTCTGCTGGTAAATCTGGCCCCATTACCGAGGCAGAATGTATTTATTAAAACACCAGTTAGAGCTCGGTCTCTCATCAGTCCCAACCCCTCAATTCCCGCATGGATGCAGACCCAGAGGCGCTGGGCACGCCCCGTGCCTGCTCCAAACCAAAGTGGCACTGCAGCAGCGTCACCCTGTCCTCAGCCCCGGGCAAACCCAGCTGGGACCGACCCAGGACAACGGGGATGTGTCCGAGAGCTCCAGCACTGCCCTGCTGGGTCCCCAGAGCTGCCCAGGGCTGCAGGCACGGCGGTGACAGGGCTGCAGTGGCACCGAGGTGACAGGGAGCTGCCAGCCCTGCCAGGCGGGCACAGTGGGTAATCAGCTGCTGCCATCACAGCACAGAAAGGGAGGAGGAGGAGGCAGCAAAGCCCGGAGGAGAGGTGAAAGTCATGGGACAGGAAGGATAAAAGGAGCGTGAAACAGAAATAAATCAAACCAACAACAAAGCCCTAAAGCAGAAAGAGCAGGGAAAGGAATAAAAGGTAAGAGGACAGCACAAATGGACCAGAGTGGATTGAGAACAGTAGGAAAATGGCTCAAGTGATGATCACAGGCTGGGAGGTTGGTACAGCCACACACGTGGAGGTAAATGAGCATCTGGATACAGAAAATATCCCTGTCTGCCTCAGAAACGGGCACCAGATGTGCCTGGGCTGTTGCCTGGGGACATTGTCCCTTCCCAGCCCTGTCACCATCCCCAGCCTGCACACAAACCTCAGGACAAAGGGCTGTGCAAGCTGCAGAAACTGGACAGAAGGAACATTATTGTGAGAAGGAGCCTGCGAGGGCAGAGCTGTGGAGGGCTCAGTCCCATCCCAGGGAGTGCCCTCCCAGAGCTGCCACTTCCACTCCAAATTCAAGAGGAGTAAAAATGAAAATGTTGAGATTTCCCAGAGAATGGAAATTTGTAACATTTGTTCTGAAATATGACAACATTGTATTTCTGGGCACCGGGCCTTGGGGCACTCTTGGACCCCTCTGCCCTTGGGGTGGCACTGCCAGCTGGGGGGCAGAGGGATGGGATAATGGGATGGGATTGATGGGATGGGGGATGGGGCGGGATTGATGGGATGGGATGGGATGGGATGGGATGGATGGGATGGGATGGGATGGGATGGGATGGCATTGATGGGATGAGATGGGATGGCATTGATGGGATGAGATGGGATGGGGGCCTGCCCTGTGCCCCCAGGACTGTCTGTGCTGGGCTCTTCATCCCAGGCTCAGCATCTCCCAAGTCAAACCCTGATCAGAGGTGTCTGAGCGGGGGGAGGTCCCTGGCCCATCTCTCACCATGAGAACTCTTCAGTGCCTTTGTCAGTCTGGTTTCCATCCCAGCTCCTCCCCAGCTCTCCCACAGCACCTGTCCTCCTGCACGGGGATTTCCCATTCCCTCCTTGCAGCCTGGTTGGGAAAGAGGGAGAGGAGAAGGGGAAAACTGGGTGGCTGCTGGCTTGTGTGTCAATTATACATCAGAGGCTTTGCTGCTGCTTCAGAAGCTTCTAATAATAATTATTATAATTAGGGCACTGGGAGAGAAATGTGCTGAGATCAGGGAGGAAAGCAGGAAAGCCAGGCCAGAATTAATTAGCCACTTTTATCTAAGAATCTCAAAGCATTTAGACATTAATTAACGGGTGCCGTGGTTAAGTCAGCGATGCTCCTTCGCTGCCGCCGTGGTGCCGGCTCGGGCTCAGCCCCTCCTTGCCCAGCCGGGGCTGCTGCAGGCATTCCCCGGCGCTGCGGGGCACAGACACGGCTCCTTCATCCCCTGGCTGTGCCCCGAGAGCTGCAGGAGCCCCGGCCGGGCAGGGGTGGGCTCTGCAGCCGGGCACACCCCGGGCACCCCGTGCCCGCGGGCAGCAGAGGCTCCTGCTGACCCATCCACCGTGCCATGGCACCTGGGGCAGCAGCAGAACTGTTCACTGGGGCAAATCCTCTCTGTCCCCCGGCTTACCCGTGGTGCGCCCATTGTTGGTGAATATTCATTAAGTGAAATTAGCATCTAATAGGTCTTAATTGACTTATAAAAACCCTGTTTTGTGGTAATGAAGCCTCTGCTGTAGCTGTGCCTGAGGCAGCTGGTGGGTCCCTGTGCCCCAGCTGCCACCCGGCTCCATCCCTTCTGCTTCCCCACAGCCCGGGAGCTGTGCCTGCCCCACCCCGGGAGCGTCCCCAGCCAGCTTGGAGGGACCCGGGCTGTGGGGGTGTCCCTGCCCCTGGGGACTGTCCCTGTCCATGGAGGGTGTCCCCCTGCCCGTGGTGGGTGTCCCTGTCCATGGAGGGTGTCCCCCTGCCCCTGGGGACTGTCCCTGTCCATGGAGGGTGTCCCCTTGTCCGTGGTGGGTGTCCCTGTCCATGGTGGAGGTCCCTGCCCATGGTGGGTGTCCCTGTCCATGGGAGGTGTCCCCCTACCCGTGGTGTGTGTCTCTGTCCATGGTGGGTGTCTGTGCAGAGCTGGCAGGGGCTGTTCCCTGGTGGTGTTTCCATGGTCTGGGGGCTGGCAGAGCTGGCAGGGGCTGTTGCCCAGTGATGTTTCCATGGTCTGGGGGCTGTGCAGAGCTGGCAGGGGCTGTTCCCAGGTGGTGCCTCCCATGATCTGGAGGCTGGCAGAGCTGGCAGGGGCTGTTCCCCAGAGGTGATTTCCATGGTCTGGGGGTGTCAGGGCTGTGCAGAACTGGCAGGGGCTGTTCCCCAGAGGTGATTTCCATGGTCTGGGGGTGTCAGGGCTGTGCAGAACTGGCAGGGGCTGTTCCCCAGAGGTGATTTCCATGGTCTGGGGGTGTCAGGGCTGTGCAGAACTGGCAGGGGCTGTTCCCAGGTGGTGCCTCCCATGGTATGGAGGCTGGCAGAGCTGCGCAGAGCTGGCAGGGGCCGTCCCTGCCAGCAGGATGGATGCTCCCCGATGACCTGTGTGCAGCCCAGGGCAGAGCTGCAGCTCCAGCCAGACCAGCCCCGTTCTCTGTTGTTCCTCCAGCCCCTGTCCCACCTGAGAGACCCTCAGGGGGTGACACTGGGGACAGGCCATGGCTCCCTGTCACGGTCAGAGTGGGGCTGCAAAGCCGGGTGGTGCCTCTTGTGGTCTGGGGGTGTCAGGGCTGTGCAGAGCTGGCAGGGGCTGTTCCCCAGTGGTGTTTCCATGGTCTGGGGGCTGTGCAGAGCTGGCAGGGGCTGTTCCCCAGTGGTGTTTCCATGGTCTGGGGTGTCAGGGCTGTGCAGAGCTGGCAGGGGGCTGTTCCCCAGTGGTGTTTCCATGGTCTGGGGTGTCAGGGCTGTGCAGAGCTGGCAGGGGCTGTTCCCTCGTGGTGTTTCCATGGTCTGGGGGCTGGCAGAGCTGGCAGGGGCTGTTCCCCAGAGGTGATTTCCATGGTCTGGGGTGTCAGGGCTGTGCAGAACTGGCAGGGGCTGTTCCCAGGTGGTGCCTCCCATGATCTGGAGGCTGGCAGAGCTGGCAGAGCTGGCAGGGGCCGTCCCTGCCAGCAGGATGGATGCTCCCCGATGACCTGTGTGTCCGTGCTGGCTGCGCTGCCGTGGGCACGGAGCCGCTGTTGCCGGTGCCAGCTCTCCCCTCGGTCACGGACTGCTGCGGCTGGGCAGGGCTCCAGCTGGAAAACAGAGCCCAGCCCTGCGCCGCAGCATCGGGAACCGTCACTGTCCTGGGCTTCCCTGGCTGGGCTCTGCAGGGGAAGGACCCGCTGTCCCCAGGGGCTCTGTCTGGCTGTGCCCAGGCTGCTGGAGGGAGGCAGGACTGCGGTGTGGGGAGGGAAGGGGATGTTGGGGGATGATACCTGCCACGATAGAGGCTGGCAGTCCCAGCTGGCTCTGCCGTGGAGCCTCGGAGCAGAAACGGTGCCTGGAGAAGTCAGGGGGCTCCGGCTGTGGTTGCTCAGTCGGACACTCACTGGTGGTTCCTCCCTGGGGATCTCTGCAGAGGTTTCAGCCCACGCTGGGTATGGAGCAGCACACGGCAGCGGGGTGGATGAGGAGCTCCAGGCTAACGGGGATCTGCTGCTGCTGGGCCCTGGGGGAGCTGTGCTGGCATTGTGGTGATGTCCAGGGAAGGTCCCTGCGAGGGTCCTGTGGCCCTGGCTGCCCTGCCGGCCCGGGGGGGGCTCAGCAGCCTGTCCTGGGCTGTGGGGGGCTCTGGAGCTGCCGTAACCCCGGGCTCTCTGTCCCCCTGCAGGCGAGCCCTCCCGCTGGTCCTCGTCCCACTGCGACTGCTGCTGCAAGAACGGCAAGGGCGACAAGGAGGGCGAGAGCGGCACGTCCTGCAACGAGCTGTCCACGTCGAGCTGCGACAGCCAGTCCGAGGCCAGCTCCCCGCAGGAGACCGTCATCTGCGGGCCCGTCACGCGCCAGCCCAACATTCAGACTCTGGACCGGCCGGCCAAGAAGGGCCCGGTGCAGCTGCTGCAGCAGTCCGAGATCCGCAGGAAGAGCGACCTGCTCCGGACTCTCACCTCCGGCTCCCGCGAGTCCAACTCCAGCAAGAAAAAGGCAGTCAAGGAGAAGCTCTCCATCGAGGAAGAGCTGGAGAAATGCATCCAGGATTTCCTCAAAATCAAAATCCCAGACAGGTTTCCCGAGAGGAAGCACCCCTGGCAATCCGAACTGCTGCGGAAGTACCACCTTTAGGCTTCGGGTGGGCAGAGCACGACCTCGTTACGCTAGAGCCACATCCCAAGTGACACAGCAGTAATTCCCAATAACAACTACTCGTTAGGTCGCCAGAACCAAAATCCATCTCTAGTACTGCCTAATTCGCCTATTTCACCTTAACATTTCTAGTCGTAGGGGAACGATATTTTTGCAGTCCTGGAAGCACAATGACAAACGCTTTTGTTTGTAAACTTGGAGTCTTACACAAGCTGAAAACCTTAAGGGCACAACCAGGCCCACCCCAAGGGACGCTCGTGTGGCCCCGGAGCAGGCAGGGCACGGGAGGGCTCCGTGCCCTCTGCACCCTGCTGGGGGCACGGTGCCTGCAGGGAGGAGCACAGCACAAAGCCCCAGCTCTGCCCCGGCAGTTTAAGCATGTGTATTTATATATGTGCATATATATATGTGTGTATATATATCTCTGTGTATATATATATGTATATATATATCAATATATATTGCTTAAAGATTTTCTGGCTCTCTCCTTATAACTGCACTTTCTCAGAAAAGAGCATTTTTTTAGTCTGTGGATGTCCCGTTTCTTCTCCAGGCCTTTGAGGGCTGAGCAGTAGAAATCCATCTCCCTGTCTCTCTCCCGCTCCCCCTGCCAGTCCTTCCCCTCCCTGGGGCGCTGTAACCGTGTCCCAGTGGAGAGCAGGGTGCAGCCTCTGGGTTTGTGTCACCATCAGCAAAATATCCCGCTTGTCTGGGATGCCCTTGTCCCTCCTGTGTTTCCCAAGGCTCTCGCTGTTACAGGCGTGCTGATCCCCCTGGAAAGCTGCAGGGATGGCTCCGGGCTCTGGGGGGGCTGGGGAGGGCGCTGGCTGCTCAGGTGCCAGGTGTGTGTGCCAGGAGCGGCTGTCCAGCTGGCAGGGACAGCGGGCACCGCGCCCCTCTGCCCCAGAAATGCCCCAGCCCAGCCGGGGGGCTCCGAGCCGGCGCTGCAGGAGGGAGCAGGGCTCTGCCAGGAGGAAACAGCCCGGGAGGAGCTCCCTGCAGCCCCTCAGTGAGTGCCAGCCGTGCCAGGGCCGTGTGGCACTGCAGCAAAGCACTGTGCCCTCCGTGTCCCCGGAGCTGAGGGAAGGGCTGGGCTGGTCCTGCGCTGCCCCGAGCCCGGGGAAGGGCCAGGGGAGGGGGCACGGACTGGCCAGAGAGGGGCCGGGGCTGGGCAGGGGGCTCGGGCTTCTGGGGCAGCTGTGGACAGGGACAGAACACTCCAGTGCTCCAGCTGGGGAGGCCACAGCTGGGAACACATCAGCTGGAGGATTTGGGATCAATAATTTCTTTTCTAAAGGCACAGGAAGAAGATTTATATATATATATATATCTATGAATATGAGACTGTGGGCAGTGCCAGTGCTGGTAACTCAGAACTCGGGTTCTGACTCAGTGTCCTGCAGGTTCCAGGCTCCCCTCCCACGCTGCAGGAGCTGCTGTGGGAGTGCAGTCCTGCTGTCCTGCTGTCCTGCTGTCCTGCTGTCCTGCCTGCACAGTCCCTTCTGCGCTCCAGCCGGGAGGAGCCGCAGTGCCTGCAGGGCTCCATCGCCCCGGCTGGGCGGGGGTCCCAGGGAGCCCCCAGCCGTGTGGGGGTCGGGTGCACTTACAGCAGCTGTAAAAGGAAGCAATACTTGTGCAGAGGGGCGGGTGGCAGGAGCTGGCTGCAGCTGGGCAGCCTGGCAGCAATGCAGCGCAGGCACCCGCGCCCCTGGGGTCACCCTGGGGGCTGGGGGTGCAAAAGGAGCTGTCCCCCAGGGGCTGCAGGAGGGCTCTGCCTGGGAAATGCTCACTGGAGAGACCCAGCATCCTGGGGCTGTGCTGCAGAGCCAGCTCGGGGCTTGGGACGTTCCCTCCCACTGGAATTCTGGCTCTCGTGCCCCCCTCTACTCACGGGCTCAAAAGGCACATCTTCCCACGGAAATCAGAGATTTGTACAAGCTCCACAGATTTGGCCCTGCTTAGTCATTTCATGCTTCGTTTATAGCATTTTTCTCTCCCCACTCAACATTTCCTGCATCTTGTCCCCCTGGGACCCCTGCCCCTTGCTCTGGCACCAGGCAAGAGCCAGGAACAGATGGAGCTCTGCTCCGCATTTCAGCAGGGCACGGCATCAGGACAGGTCCCCACGCAGCAAAAACCGCGTGCTGGCTCTCCAGATCTTCCCCTGGCTCTCTTTCATATCCCGGCCCTCTGGGCTGCGTGTGCAGGGTGGAGGAGCAGGCACTGGGGGAGTGGGAGTGGGAGTGTGAGTGAGTGTGTGAGTGAGTGTGAGTGTCTGTGTGAGTGTGTGAGTGTGTCTGTGTGAGTGTGTGTGAGTGTGAGTGTGTGTGAGTGTGAGTGAGTGTGAGTGTGAGTGAGTGTGAGTGTGAGTGAGTGTGAGTGTGAGTGAGTGTGAGTGTGAGTGAGTGTGAGTGTGAGTGAGTGTGAGTGTGAGTGAGTGTGAGTGTGAGTGAGTGTGAGTGTGAGTGAGTGTGAGTGTGAGTGAGTGTGAGTGTGAGTGAGTGTGAGTGTGAGTGAGTGTGAGTGTGAGTGAGTGTGAGTGTGAGTGAGTGTGAGTGTGAGTGAGTGTGAGTGTGAGTGAGTGTGAGTGTGAGTGAGTGTGAGTGTGAGTGAGTGTGAGTGTGAGTGAGTGTGAGTGTGAGTGAGTGTGAGTGTGAGTGAGTGTGAGTGTGAGTGAGTGTGAGTGTGAGTGAGTGTGAGTGTGAGTGAGTGTGAGTGTGAGTGAGTGTGAGTGTGAGTGAGTGTGAGTGTGAGTGTGAGTGTGGGTGAGTGTGTGTGTGTGTGTGAGTGTGAGTGAGTCTGTGTGAGTGTGAGAGTGAGAGTGAGTGTGAGTGTGAGTGTGAGAGTGTGAGTGTGAGTGTGTCTGAGTGTGAGTGTGAGTTCCCAGGGACACGGATTGCTCCATGATTAATCACTGAGGGAGAATGAGACCAAATGAGAAGAGCCCAGGTGGGTTTGATTTATGTGTCCTTCACGCCTCCAGCCTGAGCTGGGATGGTTATTGCTCTCCAGTGCTACAGAAATAAAGGTCTCAGACTTCAGCAATGACAGGGAGCCGCAGGCTGCAGGGCAGGGCAGGGCGGGGGGCTCTGCCCGGGGGTGTTTGTGCGGGACCTGCGGGGGTGTGAGCCCACGGGCCGCTGTTTGTGGGTGCTTTGTGCAGGGCTGGGGCCGTGCTGGCAGGTTCTGTGCTGCTCGGAGGGACGGGGGGCTGCAGGTGGAACACAGGGGCCCTGGGCAGTGCTGGGGGCTCTCACACCCCCGGGGGGGTCAGCAGCTCTGCCCAGCACCCCCAGCGCTGCCCAGAGCCCCCCTTCCCCCTCCTCACTCGCTGCTCTCTCTGCACCACCAGGGCCCCACAGCACCCCTGCACCTTTGGGGTGTCCCTGTGCCACCCCCGGGACAGGGCTGGGGACACCGGGCAGGGCAGGGGGGCCCTGGGAGCCTGAGGCAGAGCAGGCTGAGTGGAAAGGCTGCTCACGGTGGCCCCGAGGCTCGGCGCTGGCTGCTGCTGGCTCAGGAAGGGGCACCCGAACCTCTGCAGGCAGCAGGAGGGTGGCAGCAGGGTGACATCCCCCATGAGCCCGGGAGATCCCTTCCCAGCATTAGTGCCATGCACACAGAGATGCACAGCTGCACGGGGTGGGGACAGAGCCAGCTGGGTGACACAGTGCCCTGCAGGGTGGGGACAGAGCTACCTGGGTGACACTGTCCCTGCAGGGTGGGGACAGACCCACCTGGGTGACACTGTCCCTGCAGGGTGGGGACAGAGCCACCTGGGTGACAGGAGGGGCTGGTGCCTTTCTGGCAGGGCTGCTCCCCTCTGTGGGAGGTGGCACCTGTCCCATGCCAGGGCAGGACATCCCTGCAGAGGGTGGGTGGCACCTCTGGCCCCTTCCTCCCCTGCCCTGGGGCTGTGCAGGGATGGGGCCGGGATGGAGGGAGGGAGCAGTGCAGCACAGGGCAGAAAGGAAACTGGAACAGAGATTGCCTGAGAGAGCCCTGGGCTTGGCTGGAGAACATTCTGTCAAATTCAGCTTGGTCTCAGTGAGAGAACCCATGTGTCTGCCTAGGACAGGTTTTGTAGCGAGCCAGAATTAAACTCCACTCGTGGAGTACTTTATTCTTTCTAAAATATCTGGGCAGAAAACTGGACTTAGAGCTACTTTCCACCAGTAACAAAAACCAAGTTCTGTTGCAACTAATGTGAGAACTTCCCTAGCCTGCAGCGGGACTGAGGCTCGGCTCCCAAGGGCAGAATTCCCAATTTCAGGGGCTCTGCCACCCCTGAGACCCCTGAGCGGGACTCCGAGCCCTCGGGGGACACAGAGCACGTGTCATTCCCAAATGACCAAAAGCTTTGCCCTTCTCCCTAAGCCATCCCTCGCGGCGCTCCGGGCCCCGCGGCGCTCAGGAGAGCCGAGCACTGCTGGGCTCACCTGGCCGTTTGTCCGTTCCCTTCGCAGACAGGGCTGCGTGTTCCTGGCCACCCGAGCCCCCCAGCCGTGTCCCTCCCTGCTCTCCCAGCCCTGGCAAGGCTGGAGGAATTTCCCAGCCCCCTCCCCAAGCCCCCCAGCACTGCGAGTACGGGCTTGGCTTTCAGAGTACTTTATGCATAAGGCCCCATGTGTATCATGGTACAAAATTATTGTCCAGTCTTATGGATAGTTTATGCCCCAGCGGGGTTTTGTAGATTAATAGTAAAAGAACAACAGAAAAACAAAAAAAAAAAAAAAAAAAAAAAGAAAAAGCACTTTTAAATTATTTATATTATAAAAAGACATTCTTTATTTTTCTTGGCATTGATGTCACTTAGCTACAAAATCCGTTTATAAATAGGATATTGCAGATTTTAAACTATAGCAATGCTCGAGCAAACACGAATTCAGAGTTCCACAGAGAAAACGAGTGAGGTGAAGCAGAGGGTGGCAGGGCCCAGCTGGCTCCGCGGGTGACACTGCAGTGCCAGGGGATGTCCC